CCTTCTTCTCTGTCAGCTCCTGCTAATCAATTAGAGAATAGAAGTATTATCAAAAATTGTTATCTCTCAATAAATAAAAAACTTATCAGTTTTGACTTCTTTATCTTCTACTTTAACACTCTCTCAATCTTCTTCTGTCACTGCTTATTTACAGTAACACTCTTCTTCTCTCTTTCTCTCTTCATCTTGGTCTCAAATCATTCTCAGAACTTCTCCTGGTCTTATCACTGCTGTATGAGACTCTTCACTGTCTTCTTCTTCAATCTCTCACAGATGATGTCATCTGCATTATTTCTATACTTAGTTCAGTCTAAATCTATCAGAAGTATTACTTAAAATTGTTATCATTCTACTCTCTTACAGAGCCTCTTCAAGGCATTATAATATGCCTTGCAATCTGTCTTCTCTCACTTGAACACCTTCTTCTTCTCTTTCTCCAATCTGTGATGGCACTCACGCGCCTTGATGATTCACAGAACTGCAGAATATTTGAAGAGGAATGACATGATTGGTTTCAGTGAGTGTTGAAGAAGAGTGAAGGCAGAAGAGATGGCCAGAAATGATATAATAATAGTGATAATGATGATGATGATAATGATGATGATGATGATAGTAATGATGATAATGATAGTGATGATAATGATGATGATAATAGTGATAGTGATGATAATGATGATGATGATGAAAGAGAAAGTGCATTGAAATATATTACTGACTTATCAAATATAAAGAGACTCAAAGAAAATATTAACAGCTTTCAGTGATGTACAGAAACAGCTACAGTGTTGCATAGTAACATCATCTTCATTTAATACATGCACTGTTGATATTCTTTGTATGCAGTTATCATATAATCTGTATCAGAGATACATGCAGAAAACAGATCTTTGTTACTAGAACAAATGATTGCAGCAATTCTCTGTTTTCATATTATAAAGATAAGTTATTCTCATTTCTTTCTTCTCTCTTTTCTCTTATTCAATCAATCACTAATTTCAAGCTGATATAAAAACTATTAAAACACTCTCAGAAACCCTCAAATTGAAGAGTATAGACTAATCAAATTTCAAATGCAGAAGAAACTAAATTATCTTCTATCTTCTACAGATTCAATTATTCATCTCTCTTCAAATAAAACAGCAGTTGCATTCTCTCTTCCCTCTCTCAATTAAACAAAACATGGCCCGCAAAAAGTGAGTACCACATCAGATCATAATAATCAACACAGCCTCAGCACACAGAGCTGTATATACACAGCACATGCTGAACTGAGAGACTGTGTGAGTTGCAAATCAGCAGCAGCATCTCAGAGAGAGTCATGCAGTGTGAGAAAGTCACAACTCTCAGTCACATGCACAGAGAGTGAATCACTGCAGTAAGTGCATGTGCATTGAAGTAACACTTTTTAATAATACTCAGTTTCTGATATAATGAAAATAGAGTCTCTTCATGAGATTCATTTCTATCAGAAGTCTGGGAATTTTATATTTCTCAAGATTATCTTCACACACCTTGTCTGTGAAATTGATGAGAAGAATCATTAATTCCAGCATTCTATTCTTGATGTTATTCAAGTGACAGCAGAGTTCACCCTGGCCACACTTTTTGAGTGTATATTTTCTAATTATTCACATTTATATAGATATATACTGATTATTTATTAGATGATGTTAAGGCAATGACTCATCACAGCTGTGTTATCCTCACTGTGAGAGATACATGATTGATAATGAACATTGCAAAGACTCTGAAGAGTGAGTATTTTAAGAGTGCTGCAGCCCTGCAACCTTGATTTTTTTTTATTTTTATTTTTTGTTTTTTTCTTTTTCTTTTCTTTTTTTTTTTTTAATTTTCTTTCTCTTTCTGTCTCTTTTTTTCTTTCTCTTCTTTTTTTCTTTCTCTTTTTTTATTTTTTTTTTTTTTTTTATTTTGATTTTTTCTTATTGTTTTATTTTTTGTTTTTTTATTATTTTTTATATTGTATATTTTTTTTTTTAATTAAAATAATATTGATTATAATCTGTATTCAGAAAAGTAATAATATTTGATAATACTCTCTGTTGAATTTTCAACAAATGAGCACTATGTTATAATATTATGTAAGTGAGAAATGATTTCATGATCTCATTTAATATCATTTTCAATAATGAGATCAGAATGAAAATGTGACTAAGAATTCAAACATATTCTTTATCTAAGACTAGATTTTTATTTGAAAAGTGAATCTGGGATCTTTAATATTTGAAATAACAGGATTTGAAATCAATGTGATGAACACAAACCATGATCAGAAGTAATGCTTTTAGGCAATATAACAACTGTAAAGTTTGATCCTGGTTCCAGACACGGTCACACGGTCAGTCTAGTCAGACTTATAAGTCAATTTCAAATACAAACTTATAAAAGCTTTTATAGATTGTAATTTAATAGATAATCTTAAGTAGTTATAGCTTGAGAAAGTTTCTTTTCAATTCATAGATATCTCTGAAGATTATGTCTAGAGACTTGATTTAAAAGTGTTTATAGATAGTAAGTATTTCTTATAGAAAAATAGTTTAGTCTTATAAGAGATGCTCAAGAATGTTCTTTACTGAGATTGATTTATTCATAAGTTCAGAGAATTTCTCTGTTACAGATATAGAGAATGATGTTCTGTATAGACTGGCCGCTGAGATTATAAATTTCATGTTTGATCTCATTTGATCTGATCTCATACATTTCTTGGCGTGAATCCCGCTGGGACTGGCTATCAAAAAAACAGGTAAAGTGACTATATATCAGATCTTAAAATGAAACCATGACTTGAAAAAAATAAGAAAGTGATCTCATTTGATCTCATTTAGTCTCATTCTTGACATAAAGTTACTATTTTTAGACATTTTAAGGTTTTTTTTAGACTATTTTTAATTTTTTAAAAAGTAACACTTTTTGATAACACTCAAATGAGATTTAAAGTCATTTAAAGCAATAAAAATAATTTAAAATGAGAAGTGAAAATCATGATCTCATTTGAAAAATGTGACAAGAGTAGACAGTAAGTCTCACTGAGACAGTATGGAACTACTATCTAATGTTAAAAGCATGTAATGGGATCAGTCGAATTGGTAATGAGACTATCAAAAAATCTGGTCCTGGTTCCAGACACAGTCACACGGTCAGTCTAGTTCTGTAAGTGATTAATAAGTTCTCTGAAACTTCTTTTATAAGAATTATTCATGATTCAGATGACTGCTTCTGAGTGTCTACAGTAGAGTTTGTAAGAATAAGAGTATATAAGTTTCTAGTTCTTTCAGTTATAATGAGTGATTGCTGACTGACTGAGCTTGAAATGTAAGAATAAGTGCTCACAGATAATTATTCAGATGTTTGCAGCTTGATGTGATATATACTGTTAACTACTAGAAGTATTCACAGTAGAAAGATAAAATGTAGAGATTAAATATGTAATAGCATTCAAGCTGAGTTATGAATAGTATTCATGAACTCCAGTCTATATAGTTGTGTGTAGCCAAGGGCCGCTAGCCCTATTGATTACATGAGAGATAGGAATAGGGGTAAAGGATCCGCGAGGAGCGGGATTTCTTACAGCATCACTCAAGCACCTACTATTTATGTCATTGACTCATCCTCTGACCCTCTAGCTCCTAGCTTTCATTACCTCTATTCTTGCTCCTTTCCTTCCTGGAATTTCTCCACAATATCCTGCTATTATAACCTAAAAACACAGAAATCTTCTGTTTCTTTCCCATCTCATAGTCCTGGCTCTGACACTAGCTCTGGCTCTAGCTCTAGCATTGGCTGTGACTTCAGCTCCGGCTCTTGGTTCTGGCATGGCTTTGATGGGCAGTCTTAGTTGATTATCTCTTGAAGAATAGGTTGGATTCTTATTCATATAGAGATAAAGTGAATTGTTCAGCTGTAGTTGAGAGTAGAGTTTATTTGATTTGTATGAGGAGATAAAGTGAATTGTTCAGCTGTAGTTGAGAGTAGAGTTTATTTGATTTGTATGAGGAGATTGAGATGAATATAGATAGTGTGTTCTATGAAGGGCTTCTGATGGCCTTCTATCATCTATGATAACTTTTGTTGATCTTTGAACATGAATTCTAGTCATTTGCTAGCCATTCTGTCAAGCCCTTATCATTGTTCACTCTCATAGGAGACGCACAGAACCAACCCCTAGGTTTTTAATGGAAGCATGTAGTTGAAGGTGTGGTGGGTCACGTAGCGCCGTATAGGGCATCCTTGCAAGGTTATTACAGCACGAACTGTGAAGTCCGTTGTTGGATGGAGTTGAATAAAGCAAAATCATTAACTTTGATATCTGGAATCTTACTGACTTCACCCAAGACACTTTCTTTGTGCTGGGCTCTTTGGCCTTTGAAGCTCTAGTGCATCATCATTTCTAAAGAGCAAACATTTGCTAGCAACAACGAATCCTCCGCTGAAAAGGTTTGTTGACACCCAACAGCACTAAATATACCCACCCCCACACACTCTAGAACCCAAGCCTGAGCCCCCTATTGTTAGTTAAACGGTTTAGTTAAGTGGCCCCTGGGTTACCCCCCTAATGGTTATACCTGTTGGGTGTTGGTCTCTAGTTCTGGCGCTATTCCAATTTGATGCTCATCTAGATCCAATCCAGACAGTCAAACTTAAGCAACAAGTGGTTAAACCTGCATGGGTTAAAAAAGTAATGAGTAATTCAAACATCCCTCAGCTTAACACTCGTTGAGTTGAAATGTACTCTGTACGCTGTAGTTCCCGGCAGATGTCTTGTGATCATCAATCTGTAATGCAAGCCACTAAATAACACTTGCTGCTGACTGACTATCAGCATCTTTTTTTTTTTTTTTCCATCCCACCCAACATAACTCTTCACAACAACACATCACCAACATCAACTCTGCACCGACCCAAGTACGCCCATCCCCAGGCCCATACAATGCTCTGTCATTTCCCATGGTCTCGCAACCCAATGTCCTGATTTATCCTGCGCCATGTGGAGACGAACGTACCTGCTCCTCCTCGTGGTTCGCGTCTACTTTGCCCTATCGCCCAGCTATCTACACCCAGACGAGAACTTCCAGGGCCCCGAGATTTTCGCCGGTAAGAACCTCCCTGCTCAATCTTCCTGATATGTCTCCGGTTTGGTGCAAGGCATGTTTGCTTCAGGTAGCTTCGTGTGATTGGCAACTATGCTGGCTGGGAACGTGCAAAACTGTCTCCGCTGTCATCTCCGATACCTGATTCGTCCCCGCGCCTTCTGACTGAACTTTATGTACACGTACAATATCAAAACAAAGCTTACAATGTACGGCTAATAATTGAACCCTTCCAGGCCAAATCTTCAACTATCCGTCCAAACAAACCTGGGAATTCACCTCCGACCATCCTATCCGAAGCGTCTTCCCACTATGGCTTCTCTATGGCGTACCCATGACGCTCCTGAAGTGGCTATGGACGGAGGATGGGACCGGGAGTGCTCCGCCAGTGCTGGTATACTACGTGCTTCGTGGGAGCATGTTTGTTCTGAGCTTTGTCATGGAGGACTGGGCAATCCATGAACTGGTGTCGTCGTCTCCACGCCTCCGCCGCCAGACAGTCGTCCTGGTGGCATCCTCCTATGTTACCTGGACGTTCCAGACACATACCTTCTCGAACTCGTTGGAGACTTTGCTCGTCGCGTGGACCTTGGTTCTGATGCAACGCATTCTCGAAAACAAGGTACACACTCATATATATAGATATTCCCAATTCATTCACACAAGTAGACATAACTCCTGCTGACGCATTTCTCCAATAGCAAGATTCCTCTATTTTCGCATCCGTTGTCTTATCCTTCCTGCTCGTCGCAGGAGTTTTTAATAGAATCACTTTTCCAGCATTTATCTTGATACCCGGCCTCCGATTGGTCCCTCATTTCCTTCATAAGTATGTACACTTTTTAAACATACCAATTTCGACCCAAGTGCCCTAACTTTACTTGTACAGACCTCTCTCTCTTCTAACAATAATTATTTTCGGCATCATATCCTGTTTTATTGCCATCTTCGCGGACACAGACTTCTACCGTGCCTCCCCAACATCCCTCTCCGACGTCTTCCGCAATCCGATAATTACCCCCCTCAATAACCTGTTCTACAACTCCGACACCTCAAACCTCGCCAATCATGGCCTCCATCCGCGTTACAATCACTTCCTCGTCAACCTACCCCAACTCCTTGGCCCCATCTACGTCCTCTTGCTATACTCCTTCACATTCCCAAATGCCCGCTCTTACTTCTCCTTCCGCAACCTCCGCGCCATCTCAGCCCTTTCCGCAACAGCCCTCCTCTCAATTTTCCCCCACCAAGAACCCCGCTTCCTAATCCCCTGCGTACCCCTCCTCCTAACATGTTTCCGCCCCCCACGCTCCCGTTTCTTCCTAGCAGCTTGGATCCTCTTCAACGCCGCGCTAGGCATTCTCATGGGTGTCTATCACCAGGGAGGTGTGATACCAACACAACTCCACCTCCCCGCCCTCCTCGCCAACTCAACCGCTCCTATCTCTTCCTCCCCCGGGTCAAGGGCGATGTGGTCAAAAACAGATGACGAGCCAATGTCAATGCCCAGCGGCACCGTAACCGTTTTCTGGTGGAAAACCTATTCCCCACCAACGTGGATGCTAGGCGACCTGAGCACCACCAGTGTTCAGAATTTTACTTTCTCGAGCATCTCCACGGTGGACCTGATTGGTATTCCAGGTCCGGAGATGATGGAGAGACTCGAAGAATCGGTCCCGAAATGCGAACACAAGAGTGGAACGCCTGCTGCCAAGCATAGACGCCAACAACTAGATACCAATAATAATAAAAATAAGACGATGAACAATGAAGTCACAATCCAACACGACAACCCAACTCTCCTCGTCGCGCCGAACTCGAATACGTTTCTGGACAATTATGTCGTCGTGAACAGCGATTCTCCATCCGCGGCAGGTGCAGGTGCACATGCAGACAAGTCAGATGAGGATGAGGCAAAGGACGGGGAAATAGGGCACCCTTCCCTGCAACTGCACCTACTCTGGTCATACGCGCGCCATTTGAATCTGGATGATATGGACTTTGGCGACGATGGAGTGTGGCCGACGCTGAAGCGGGTGGTGGGGAGGAGAGGATTGAATGTTTGGCTGGTGCGGAGGGAGGGGTGTTTGGAGGAGGGAAACTAATTTATTTGTTTTATTTATTATTTATTTTATTTTATTTTGCTTTTCTATTTCTCTTTTGAATGGAATTTTGAGGTTTGATTGATTAGTACGTTTTGGTGCTCAGTTTTATTTGACACCCCCGAGAGATACACTCTGCTCAGTTCATCAGATGGAGGCAGGCAGTAGTTACAGTTCCCCGATGATCTATACCACATTTTCCTTCGCTTTTCACCTTTAGCCTGGGCTGGGTTGTTTTTTTATGGTTTTTTTACTTCAATTTTGTTCTACTACTCTCCTTGTTAACGGTATTGTCGGAGGACTTTTCAAGATTGATTTTGTTTTTAATTTACAGGTCGTTGCTCTGTTTGTACAGAGGCCTCAGGAATCCTCTGCCCACATGTGGAGAATGACAGAATGTCAGGAAAAAAGAGGTTATACACTACTGAACGCCACCAACATCGTATTACTACAATATTTCTCATCATCATCAGCTTACTACAACGCTCGTCTAATACTCGCTTATGCTAGCTCTCTTGGCTCGCACATATATTTTACTATAAATAGCTCCATCTTTTGTATGATTATTATTATTATTCTTCAATTATAGATGTATGCAGTCAGAGACTATGACATCTACCTGAGAATCTTTAGTTCTCAGGGTTTTTCCTATATCTATAGAGTCAACTATTATATATTTATCAATTTCAAATATGCAAAATCAGAAAATTCCAGCTCAGAATATAAAAACTGTTTACAAATTGCAGTATTTCAACACCTTCTGATAGTTTGAAATCATTTGAAAATATTATGACAAAAGAAAAGAGAATATAGTCTTAAAGATAGACACATTAAATAGATAACAGAAGGAAACAAGTACAGTAAAGAGAGACTATAATAAAATAAAATTATTAAAAGATGATATATAGCTGTTTTAACAGACTATATCTAGTCAATTTTCACCTCTTCATATTCAGATACTTCTGAATTCAGTCATTTTCTTATAGCTGCTCTAGTTTCTGATAGAAAGTCTATTAAGTATTTAGTTCCTGTCTCAGTTGAGAATAAGAATCTTATATTTAATTGATTTAAATCATACTTCTTCTTTAATCTGACTCTGAGACTATTATATAATGCATAATACATTATAATATGCTCAGGATTTTCATTCACATTGCAGAATAAGTACTCTGTTGAATCAAATCTATCATCAAATCTTTGTATATAAGATTTGAAATAACCATGTTCTAGTTTCAGCTGAATTATAGATGAGAATATTTTCTTTTTACATTTAATTGAACAAGATTTTCATTTTGATTTTATCTCAAATCTTGAATAATGTATACTCTTCTTTTGTTTCTGTCAGCTTTTATTTCACTTGTTTAAACAAGATTCTTTTATCTTTCTCTTTATGAAAGATCAGAACACTGTTTTTTAAATAGATCTGCTTAATTCTGAACTCTTTTTTGCAGCTGAATCAGCTAATTCATTGTCATGAATATTTATATGAGCAGGAACTCAATATAGATGAATTATCAGTTTTGATATTCTTCTCTTTTGAATTTTTAAAACAGAGTTTAAAATCAGTTCAAGATTTATTTGATCATTATAAATCTGACTATTTCTAAGTCTTTTTAAAGCTGCTTAACTATCAGAGAATATTCATATCTCTTTCAAATCATTTCCTCTTTTATAAGATTTTATTTCAATGAGTTTGAAAGCTTTCACTATTGTAAATAGTTCAGCATCAAAGACTTCAGATTCACAGTCTAAATTTCAGAAATCTGAGATAAAATTAATATTATCTTCAGTATAAGCAATGTCTGTGTTTAATCTATTCAAATTCTTACTTTTTGAGCCATCTGAGTAGATCATAATAGAGTCTTTTATATTAATTGTAGAGATCTTCTTTAAATGCTGTTCATATTCTCTCTCTTTAGATAGTTCACTTATTTGTAAGTCTATGAGAGATTTCAGCTTTTCTCTTCAGAGAGATATCTTCTCATGATCAATTTTCTCAACATTTAATGAAGAAAATTGATTCTTAATAAGTGAACATAGTCTATACAGTTGAGAGAGTATTTTCTTTAAAGTATTATTCTCATTTCAATCAAGAAATCTATTTCAATTCAGTTCATTTTCTGAGTTAACTGATGAAAATGAAGAAGAGACTCTTTCTCTGATTATATGATTTGAGCTCATCTTCATGACTCTCAGAGCATAGTTTATACAGGCCTTTTCAAATTGAATAGCAGGAGATGAAATTGAAGCTTCAATTTCCATTGTTTTAATAGAAGATGACTTGAATGCACTCAGAATTCTTCTCAAAGCTCTGTTTTATAGACTTTGAAAGAGTTCAGTGAAGTTTTCTTGATTATTTCATCAAACTTAAACTTCATAATCAGCTACTGAGATAATACAGGCTATGTATAACTGTCTCATAGCCTGAAAGAATAGATCTCTCTCAGTATTTGATAGTCTGATTATACTATTCAGTAGTCTCTCTGTCTTGATGATTCTTTGTTGAATATAATATTTAAAATTCAGCTTGGAGTTTAACCATACTCCTAGTCATTTGACATTTAAACCGGGTTTAATCTCTTTATTCAAAAGAGTTAGACTTAGTTCTTTCTCATTAAACCTGGGAAAAAAGTGAATTAACTCAGTTTTATTCATATCAAATTGAATTAGATTGATATCTACTCTAACAAAGATTTTCTTTACTGCTTTCTCAATCACTTCTAAGTTCTCTTTGATTGTCTTTGAACTGTAGAGTAGATCAATATCATCTACATAACTTGAAGATCTCACTATTTTCATCTCTCTATTCTTGAATAGATATGCAGTGTATATTGCAAATAAAACAGATAAGATTGGAGATTCTTGTGATACTTCTATTTTTATCTCAGTTTTATCTTGTTTTCTTTCATCAAAGAATAGTTGTATAATTCTTTTAGACATGAAACAATTGACTCATTTTATTAGAGAAAGTGACAGTTTTAACATCTTCAAAGTTTGAATCATCTTAGACTTTGACACATGATCAAATGCATCTTTTATATCAATAAAAACTGCAGTTGAGACCAGGCCTTCATGCTTTGCTACTTGAATATCATGAATAACTGAGAGAACAGTATCAATTGCAGAACATTATTTTCTATCTCTCATTTATTCATTAAATAGAAGAGAATCACTAATAGAGCTTATAAAAGATAATCTAGTAGCTATTATCTTTTCTAGAATTTTTCTTAAACAGTTCAACAGAGATATTACTCTATATGACTTAGGAATTGAAGTCTTTCTATTAGGTTTTGCAAGGATTACTTCAGTAGCTTCTCTCCAGCATTCAGAATGATAACCATTTTTTAAGAGATTGAAAAAGAGCTCAAAATATTCATTCTTCAAGTAGAAATATGTGTTTTGAATAATTGAGTGATTAATTGAATCAGGCTCTGCAGCAGTTTTAATTGAACTTGAGAATATTGCTGACTCTAGTTCATCATATGTAAGCTCAGATTATTCCCAGTTATTTTCATCAATATATTCATGAAATGACATATTCTTCTCTTCTAAATGTGATGATGAGTTTTGAAAGAGAATTCTTATAAAAGCTTGACATTTTTCCTCAAAAGAATTTACTGTATATAATTCATTCTGAAATTCATATTCTAAGGTTGAAAGCTTTGCTACACTTCTTGTTTTAGTATAGTTGAAGGCTTTGAAAACTTCTTTTCCTTGTACTTCTTCAAGAAATTTGTTCCAGTAATCTGTTTTGGCTTTTTTAATATCTGAAAAATATTCATTTTGAATAGCTTTGAACTCTTTATCAGATATTAAGTGATTCTTTCAATCTCTCTTAGCAGTGACTAATTGCTTTCTTTTAGAAGTGATATTCTCATTTCATCAAGATTTGAAATACTCAGAAGACTTTTTCTTTGAAATATTTTCTCTAATACATGTTAGAAGAATAGATGTAATCAGCTTTGCTCTATTCTCAAGTATTTCATTTAATATATCTTGACTTTGATTTCAATAGAGCTCACTCTGTCTTTCAGATTTCAGCTGTTTTACTCTTTCTTCAACTGCTTTTCAATCAGCTTTTTCAAAGTTATACTGATTAGAGAGAAGAGGATTTTCACTTCTTTGTTTTTCACTCAGTTCAATATCAAATTGAATGATCTCATGATTCAATCCTGAGGTTTCATTTGAATCAATAAATCAGTTTATAAGTCTTTTTTCAATTAGATTTTGTGATATGAAAGTTAAATCTATAATAGATTTCTGTTTCATGCCTTTTCTAAAGAATGTTTGTTGATCAGACTTGTTAACTAAATCTATTGAATGCTCAAAAGTTCATTCAATCAGTTTATCTGCTCTTACTGCTCTTGTGCACTCTGAGTTTCATCAGAGATGATGTGCATTGAAGTCTCCTGCAATTATAGAGTTTTTTAAGAGAGTTATATTCAAAAATCCTCTATCAATTGTTCAGGTATTGTTGTTTTCTTTCAATGATTTTTCATTATAGATATTTATAAGTTGAATAGTATCAAACTCATTATCTTTATCTATAATGTCACTCACTAGAATGTCAGAGTCAGATATGATATCAAATCTCAGATTAAATTGATATCTTGATCTTTTTCTCTCATAGATTGCTACTCTTGATTTTATCTCAGATTTTTCAGGAAGAAAGCAGTAATAGCTTGAATGAGAAATGATGTACTTTTACTCAGTATCAAAATTTGATTCTTGAAAAAGTACAAAGTCAACTTTTTGTTCAAATGCAATCTGAAGACAAGAATAAATGCAATTTGAGTTTCTATTCACATTATTTTGAATAAATGTGATTTTTGAAGAGTTTTTAAACTTTTTTTGTTGTTTTTGTTGTACATTCATACTAAAAGAGAGTGAAGATATAGTAGAATCTAATCACTATCATCAGATAGTAGATTATAACTATTTTGAAAAGCAGGAATCTCAACTGCTTGCATTCTATCTAGTTTATTATCAGAGTTATTTCTCAA